GGTCCAATGGTGGGTGTGTACAATAGGTTGTGTAGGTAAGTAGAGATAGCACGCACCCAGGGTAGAAAGCAGAGGTATTGTAAGTGTGATGGCCACTTCCCACTCATGGCTTTTGCTCCTTACGGTCATTGAGTAGTGCCACCCACAGGTGCTGTTGCGCGGGGCTGGCCATTGAATGCCACCCCCACTTGGTCCCTTTGCCTCTCTAGCCGCTCGCTGCACCCTGTGCCATCACCGGTCCTTGGGGACTATCTGGATCCCTGGATGTCGGGGTGCTCTCTGCCTCACCACACGTGGTGGGCCCTCTCCATGCATGGATCCAGTGGTCCTGCCATCCGAAGATGGCATGTTCCGGAATAGCCTACACCCCAGGCTATGAGGCCCATGCGGTGTGCGTCAATGAGCCAAACCTGTATTACACGAGGTGATCAGACATCAACCTATTTACCAGGTACTGACTAGCCAGTCTGGGCCCATCAATCTCACCCAATGATAGACATGTATGAAGTACAAGAGGCTAACGACCGGACCATGTCCAACGCACACCAATATCGGTCATTGTATTCATACTCTAGCCGTATCCTGCCCCTTTGACCCATTCCAAAGTACCCGGCTATATCTTTACTAATACTAAGGGGTTTAGGATAAAGTAGCTAGAGATACATTAAGATTATGACTAATCTATGTACAAGGTCCAATCCCACTAATACTCGATAATGAGGAACTAATGGTCAATAACGACTTCCCCACTCTCATTTTCATAACAGGTGCCCTAATTATCATGCACCACTTGGTATCCATGATGGGCGGATTTTAAGAGCGGCTATGGCCTACGTAGCGCCCAAGATGTGTGCATAAAAATGTGCTCCAAACGGTAAGAGTGAGAGGCCGAAAGGTGCTTCCCACTTTAGCATTCTTGCCCCTCGTCGTTACCAATAGGTGCAATCCACAGGTGCCTTGATTGGCATCTGTGAATGGCATCAATCGGTGCCCACAATGGCCAGATGCCAAGAGTGGCCACAGCGCACGCAACGCACAAGGGGTGGGAGCAAAGGCGCCCCAAACACTGGTAGTGAGAGGCCGAAAGTTGCCTCCCACTCCTACCATTCCTGCTTGGATTGGTACACCCACGAGTGCCCTGATTGGTACCCGCGAGTGACCCCACTCGGTGCCCACAAGGAGCGAACGCCAAAGGTGGATTGGGGCCTCCGCGGGGCCAAAGGAATGGCCTCAATATACGCCAAAATATGGCAGGAACGGGAGGCCGAACGTGGCCTCCCACACCCACCATTCTTGCTCCTTGTGGCCACCAATCGGTGCCACTCATGTGTTCAATTGGGTCATCCATGGCTCCCACCATTCGGCGCCCATAACGAATCCAAACGGGAAGCACACTTCGTCGCACATAAAACAAGATCCATGGTGGATCTTGCACCTTCCCTGGCCTCCCGGGGAGGCCCACTGCCTCACCCTTTCGTTGACACACCATCCGCCCCTTGCAAACCAACCAGCTCAAGGAAATAGACGCACGCTAGGGCCTCCGTCCGCGACATTGCGGAATCTCCAAACTTCCATCCGCAAAGTGTGGATGGAATATCGCGTACCGCAAAGGTGGAAACAACTCGCAGAATTTTGTGACGAGAACTTTCGCCCTTGAAGTTGCGGGCAGCAGCGGCCAGAGGGATTGCAAGCCTGTGAAGTTGTTCGTAGTCCGTCCGTCCATCTGCAAAAATCTATAACGTGTCATCATTGTGGGAGCGTGTCTATTGAAGATTTGCAAATTTTTATTGGTTGCTACGTGTTGTGTGGAAAATCTGAATTAGTAAGTTCAATTTTTCTCACCTGGCACACACCCAAGGCAGGTATTAAAGTCCAATGATGGCAATCACACAAAATGCCCTTTGGCAACATCTAACTATGTGTTGGTGCTTGAGGGAATGAGCACTGAAAAGACTTTTCTCCCTTGCCTTTTCATTACTTTTGTTTACTGAACCAGACAATGATGTGGCCGTATGCATCTAGAGAAGCGAATTGTTGCCAAAGCTTCTGTGGTGGTCCAGCCATTGATCTTTGTATGGTTGCAGTGGAAGTCCTTAACAACTTTACCCAACAAACAAACCGATACTCAGTATTATTTATATAGTGAAGCTTCAAATATTAGAATAGAAAGAGGACGCTACTTCAGTAGTTGTAATCGAACATGGTCCAGAAAGAGCAAGTGTGAATGTGGCTTTTCAACTCGATTTGTCTTTTCGCACTTGCAGCTGACAACATGTGGGTGTATTTGAACCTCATCCGGACGAATAATTCTTTGCGACGTATCACCATATACTGTGCTCGGGTCAACAATAATGAGCACATTATGGCTCAATAAGGCGCCCATCAGTTGCGACAAGCTGGTGCCCCGTGAGGACCAGATTGCCCTGGCATGGGACTCCAGTGCGGGGGAGCCATGGCCAACGGGGGGCGAATCATATGGGATACGGGGCGTGTGGGACAGTTTGGCCATCGATCTACGACAAGACAACCCAAAATGAACGACAACATCTGCGTTGTGCTCTCGTAACCCAGTCCAACTAAGCATCCCAGGCATGGAAGCACATTCGAAGCAGCGGGGGCCATGGCGGCCCTGCCACACCTCTGGAGAGGCTCCGGCCCACCGCGGAGCTGCGCGAAGCAAACCTGCTAGGAAGCGACCCCCCCAACATGCTCAGGGACAGGCAAGGGAGGGCCCTGCAGTGAAAAATCGGAGCAATGCCCATCGCTCGCAAGCACCGCTCTTCCAGAAGGACCAGCATGTTCGCCTCCAAACACAGATACGACATCCGCCAAACGGGTTTGATTGTCTAGAATTGCAATTAATGGTGAAATTCGGTGCGAAAAAACGAGTATTTCCCGCATGATTTGCGAGATTGTTGCCAAAAATGCGACAGGATCCATTTGAAAAAAACCGCGTTCAAATCGCTCTTTACCCAGATACCAAGAGGACCTTCCCGTTTGGCCCACAGAGCTGGGAAGCGCCCCATGTTTTTCATATTTTTGGGACGCAAAATATGTGGAAGCTGCATTATTTCAAGGCAGCGGAGTTGACCGATACTGTGAGCGGCATGCCTCACACCCCACCCTGCGGGTGGGTGTAAAACCCTGTTGTATGTGCGTCTTGTTTCACATTGTTCGCCGGCAAAGAATGTTGTTGCGTCTTCAGCCGAGACGGATCGCATTTAGGGCCATGCTCACTGTAGAGCGGCATGCATTCATTTGCTGGTACCACCATCACGAGCAAGATCGTGACAGCGTCGCCATGTTTTTTGCGTCAAGTCTTAGCTGCCGCGGCCGTGGCATGAGCCAGTCGAATACGCCATTTCAATGCCAGTTGCGATGGCTGAGATATTTGGCATTTCAGGATTCTGAACGACTGCCACTCTTTCAGGAAAGTGGTACAACAAAATGGTGTGAAGTAGTACGAAAGCGGTACATGAAGGCAGTGTGAAAGCAGTGTGAATTCACACTTCGAAGTGCAGAGCCTTGTGCTACTTTTCCCGAAGCAGGGATCGCCGCAGAGGCAATCCCCACGCCGGACAACGACGGAGGACAGCCAGAACGACAATCTCACCCACCCGGCCGGCTGGGCTGCAGGCGACTCGGCGATGACTCACCGTGGTGCGTGTGTTCGCCCACGGGGCCCGCGAGACCATCCCGCCCCATACTGGACTCTCCGAATCTAGCGCGACTGAGGCGTCGGCACTCACGGGACCAGACACTGGAATGGCCTATCGATCCGCGCCAGCCGGCGGCCGACCCACCCATTGGACAAAAGGCGATTCGAACGGGGTCTGGGTCGCCGCTTGCCGCCGCCTTGCTGCCCGCGCGACCCGCCGCTTTAGCTACCTTGGCCGGGCTGCTAATCCGCGGGCTAAGCGTCCTGGTCAGGCGACACTCTTGGCACCCACAGGTAAGATCGATGCATATCGAGAGTACATGTTCGCCCGAGGCGAGGGGCGCGGTGACGGCTACCCCATTGCCTTGTTGTGTGGAGTGTGTGGGCGATTGGGCGCTCCCCGAGCTGCGACTGGCGCCGCGAGCCTTCGATGTGAGCCCGTTTGGCCATGGCGGCTCTGCAGTGGGATTCGCATGGATGCCCGGCTCTGGGGCGCGATCAGCATGGATGCGGGAACGCGTTGGACTGGATTGAGCTTGCAACGCGGATGGCGCTCGCAACGGTGGCTCCGGGGCGGGATCCATATGGATGCGGGAGAACCTGGGTTGGGATTGAATCCGTGAATTCTGTTCGCGGGCTTGGAGCGCCGCGAATCGCTGCGAGGTAGGCAGCGCTACAGTTTTGCATCTGCGCGTTGGAAAGGCATTTTGAGTCCCAGTCGCGTTGCGATGGGCTTCCCGGTGTTGATGGCTTGGGGGTGATGGTCGGCGGCTTTGGCGGGCCGCTTCCTAGGTCGGATTATGAATATCGCCTGCGCCATAGCCATTCGATAGGCTTTGCCGGCCCCAGAGAGCGAGCTGCTGGAATTGGCCGCGGTCGCCCATTTCGGCGCTTCTGTTTCGATTGCCGCCTGGGCGCGCGACCCGCCAATGCCCCCAGGGAGAACATGAACGCCGCGACCGTCAGCCCAACCGTTCAGGCCCAAATCTCCCTTTTCCCAGCCCAGCAACCGACCGTACGACGTACGGCAATGCGGTATTCGAGGCTGAGTGGCAGTTGCGTTTCATTTTCCGGACAGGCACCGCCCGCGGCCGCCCGCCGCTGGCAGCCCCTCCATCAGGTCCATCGCCACATCCACTCCGCCACAGTCCGTCACCAACTGCACGGCGCAAGAGCAGCACTTTGTCCGTCACGAGCAAACTCAAAGAAGAGGGATTCAGACGCAGAGGCGTTCAGCCACAAGAACTTCTGCCACAGAGGAATTCAGCCACGAAGAGCTGCTGCCACAGAGTTCAACCATCGAGGAACTCAGCCGCAGGGGCCTTAGGCCATCCGTCGCGCCATGAGCTTCGCCTTCGCCAAGCACCACCCCGTGGGCTCCGCGCTGGACGACGCCAGCGAAGACAGCTTCGCCACTGCCGTGTCGTGCAATAGCGTCATGGGGGCCGATCGGATCGGCCGGCGGGCGACGGGCCGGCGCGGCTCCATGGGGAGCTGCAGGGCCGAGGGTGGGGCGAAGGCGGTGGCCACATCGGGGTCAGGGTCAAGAGGCAGGAAGGGCGTGTTGAAGAGCCTCAAGAAGAAGGTGGCGCGGTACTTGAGGCGCAGCAGGGGGAGAAAAGGAGACAAGCGCGTGTTGCCAGTGGATCAAGGCGAGGGCGATCGGTCGGCGGCTGGTGGCCATGGAGCCCGGAAGAGTTCCAACAAGAGCGCAACAGGTGAGTCCATTGTCGTTCAGTCTAGGCATAATGGGACAGGCAGACGACGGCTCTCGCTTCGAGCGAGGGAACTTGTGCCGATAACTTGTGCGACAAAAGCCGAAAGGACTGCTCTCGCCCGAAACTTTGACTGAAACAAGAATGGACCGCGCATATCCGATCGCTTGCTCTCTGGTCGGCCCGTTGCGAATGCGCAATTGCACGAATCGCAGTGGCGGATTTGCAGCCGAGACGGTCCATGCTGCTCGCCACACGCATGTCGCTCCCCTATTTGACGCCAGAAATTACGATCACTCCTGAGCTGGTGATGGAACCGTGAGTGACGATTTGCGATTTGACCGGGCTCAACCGTACGAAATGTACTTGAAAAGATTTACGCAACTCGCCTGCCACCCTTCACAACACATCCCCGCATTCAAATCGCTTTCTATCTGCATAAATCGTGCATCAACAGCATGTCCTCAGATCGAAATCGCGATCGCGTGCTTTGGGTCCACTTCATGCTTGATGTGGTGTTTTTCATGCAGTGTTCTATGTTCTGCACAGTGGCTGGGTCCGGAAAAGTCGTATCGCCGGGAGGTACTGAGTTTGTGGAGAACATCGACTCGAGCAACAAGCAGACGTTCAGACGCGCGTCCCGCGGCGCACCCCTGGCGGATCAAACGGATCAACGGGTCAACGGCAGCGACGCGGTGCAGGAGGCGGGCCCCGGGGCCCGAGGGGGTGCGCCTCTAAAACGAAACGGAAAAGTCGAGGAGCTGAAAGGGGGCCGAGAGGCGACTTCAGCTGAGGGCGGTCGGGCAATAGTTAGCGTGGAGAGACTTCAGGAGCTGAGTGGAATCTGGAAGCTGGACCGTAGCAGGAGCGAGGATTACGGGCCGATGTGCGCCTTGCTGCAACTCGGGTTCGTCCTCAGGAAGGCGCTTGATGTTTCGGACACCCTTCAGGTGGGAGCTAGTAGATTTGCGAAGCACCGATATCAAATTTAACTTCGAATTAGATTTTAAAGTTTTAGCGAATTTTAGCTTTAGTGGGTTGTAGTTTTGAGCGCACGTGAACTCAGAAATTGATGGCGAATTAAGCTTTTGATGCAATGCGTCAAAAGCAGAAAAAGATGGACAGTGCGTTAAGAAACGATTTTCATGATTCACTGATCGTCGATTAGGCAGAACAGCAAGATGCGTCTTCAGTTCACCGCGATATGTACAACTGTTGATTGCGCTTCTCGTTTCAACTAAATAACTTCGTTTCCTAATGCAGTTTCATTGATAAACGAATGATTATTTCGCGAGGTGTTGATATCGAATACAGCCTATGGGTGGCATTTCACTTCTTTCCACTCCCTCGATTAACGAAAGTCAGTTTCCCTTCAGTAATATACTGGCGTATAATTTCCCATTATCATCTTAATTCGGCGCAAAAAATGCACACTGCAGTCATAGGTAAACCTGGATGCAATCGCTTCCAATAGATTGTATTGCCGGGCAATGTAATTGGCAGTAATTGCCCATTACATGACGGACATTTTATGCTTAATGCATAATTCATGAAGAGCTTCATAGCTATAGCTATAGCTCTATAGCTTTACATGTATACACATACCGCGTGCATGATTAACTAAAATGATGCACTTCTGAATGCCGCTGCCAATCTGCTCGGAGCAAACAACACTGGCAAAAAGAGGACCAAATATCACTTATGCGAGCACACACAAAACACATTTCATCAGAGTTCTGCACGCTAAGAGCCCAAAAATAACCCAAACCCGTAAACTTTGTACACGTTTGAACATGTGTTATTTGGACCTTCTTTGCCCAATGCAGCGATTGCATCCCGCAGATCGATGTGAACCCAGAACGCATCAGGCAAGTAGCGCGGATCGTCAAGATCATAGACATCGTCGAAGAGTTCCCGTTGTCGGGTGACGAGGTGACCCTCCGGAGAAGAGACCTGCGGCGCGGGCCTCTTTCGGCGAGGACGTGCAGGACGCCGGATGGCTACCACAACAGGTGAACAGCGCAATTTAGATTGGGTCCTTCTGGCCTGCGCTCCTGGATCCGTGGGCTCCAAGTTGGATTAGATATCAGGCCAGAAGAACATTTTCGGAAAGATTTTTTATGTTATGATTCCTCCGTCCCAGATTAACTGTCGTCTATGACTTTGGGGCATTATTTATACATGATTATCGCACCTGTTTGTAATAAAATTTCGCCTACGGTTTTCTTTTTGAGTTGGGAGTACACCATAAAATTTTCAAGTTAATCCATTAAGCATTGAGTATTTGGAAGTATTCTGTATCAAGGTTCTTTTTACATAATAAATCAATATTTGGTGTCGAAAATTACCAAATTTTACATTCGCCTTGCTCTCAAAAGGATCATGTCTCGCTTCCACTTCTTTAAAATTAATGGTCAAGGGTTTTGAGATGCAGTCTTTTCGATTTTGACCTTGTTTTGAAATTCTGAGGTTGTCCTTACAATAAATTTAGCATTTCAAATAGGCGAAAACTAAATTGGGACGGAGGAAGTATATTGTTATATAATTATGTAATATATGTTATTTAATTGAAAATTTGATCCACAGCAATGCTCGTTTGGAGGTGCTCGCAGCTTTCCAGCGTTTTTGTGCCCCCTGCTGTCCCTCATGTGACTTCTGACAGTGCTATTTCATGTGGCAAGTCTGCACTGGGGAGCTCCCTTTGCAGGAGGCATGGAGGAAGATTTCCGATTCTCGCAGGATGGGTGGGAGATGCACATCCACGTCAGAGTGTACTTGGAGTCAGGAAAGAGCGTGGCCTTCAAGTGAGCATAAAACGGACGCCCTCGCGTTCATTCCCATAGGCCCGTGGCACCTCTGCATCATCGCGGGAGCGACATGGCAATTTTAGAAGCATTTTCGCCATGAGACTGTATGCAGAAATTACTTTGCAAGGCAATACTAGCTTGCAGATCCTTGCGCCCCGATCAAAAATGTATTGAATGAATTCCTTAATACGTTCAGTATCGACTTTTTCAGAGGTTTCAACAATTCATTCTGTTTGGTACTACTTTGAGCTTATTTAATTTGATAATCAACTTGTACAACGTCGCATCAGCTGCACAGAAAGTTAGTGTCTATGATCGAATTTGAGTAATTCGAGCAATCGCAAAAGCAAGCATGCTGTTGACATGAATTTTTAATTTTGTGTGTTCACGCACAAGTATGGCTTTTATTTTTCTGATTATGTGTATTTCGGGAATTATACAGAAACTGGGTTGTGATGAGTTAGGCCATGATTATTTCGTTGACTTTGCAGCGTGCGCTTGAATGACAAAAACTAAAACTGCCCGAATGTCCAGGCATTTGATACCGGCTGCGTATTAATTCCGCATCGCTTGTTGGACGGAATTTCCAGCCTCTGCGAAGGGCGAATTGGTGATATGGGAGACTGACATGGTTCGGAATTTAAGATTTAAGATTTAAGAATTTAAAGATTCTTCTTTACTCAGTCAATGAATGTGCAACGAAGATAAACGCAATCATGGTCGTGAATATGGGCGTCAGCACATTTGCCCGCGTTCACGCCGAATACGCAACGCACACATGCTCAGGTGAAAGTAAGTAACAAACTTGCACTTGCATGGAATCGGCATGCACACATGTTTCAAACTTGTTCATCTGATTCGCGCGGGGCAACAAAGCAAGCTCCTCTCCACAAATTTGTATTCTGCTTTGGAAGCAGAGTACATGGCTACGCAACAATCATTGGGCACAAAAACATGTGCAAGCCATCGAATACCTCTTTCCTGAAATGTGTGGATGGGGATATGTCTTACCTTCGAACCTTTGGCTGAGTGTGAAAAGCGTACCCTGCAGTCTTCGACTGTGTGTACCAATAAATTTGTGCAAGCATCAAATGCTATAGCCAAACCGAAATTGACTGCATGCCACGTAATTTATGGAATGTATTCAGCAGACTTACACACATGTTTAATGCGTTCCTGCGTATTTTTATGTACCCAGTTTATTTCCACACCCTCCATGATCAGAGCTTCTTTCAATGTGTCAATGAATGAATGAATGAGTGCACCTTTAACAGCAAGGATACCTATTGCGAGGTTGTCCTGTCCTCGTGTGGTACCACAAAAATGTAAAATGACGCGTAGCACAGTAAATTGGTGAATCAATAAAACGAATTGATGAGGTGGTTTCTTGTCAATCAATAAACGCTTCAAGAATTTAATACATGCATGCATGCGATATAACAAGCAATCCGATCCCTGAGAATTGCCACAAGTCTTTACGCAAATAAACTACAGCATTTACAAAAAGCATCGAAGGGTATAATGACATATTTCTGCAATTTGGATTCTGGAGAACCGAGTAAGGGCATTCACGAGTATCAGATTGTTCAATCCATAGTTATGTTATCAATCGCACACATACCCACAAGCACACTATGCCTGACGCGCAGGCATGTCGCACTGTGTTAAACACAGCCATCCATAGTTGTTAAAATTGCTCAAATTTGACAAAATAATCAAACGAGATCTGAGAGATGTATTTTTCATGGCTAGCAGCAGTTATTTTCCATAACCGCAAGTACAGGCTCCCACCCCACATACTTCTGGGGCAGTCGCGATTGCAGAGCAGCAACGGAAACAATGGCTGTTTGTCGGCACTATGCTGCGATAAAGCTTAAAAAGCGTGGCTGCTATGTTTGCAGGACGTGCTGGAAGAAGATTCAATGAGCAATAATTCACAAAATGGGAGCACCCAGGCATGCCTTTTTCTGGCAGGAAAGACCAAGGCTGGCGCCATACGATGCAATATTATCTGCATGTGGCAGCATGTGCATATTCTTGAGCTTCATGTGTGATTCATCATTATCATGACTTTTTACACAACAAGGCAATGAGGTAGCCGTCAGCTTCCTATTTTGCCTGAGCAAAGCAGAGTCGGTGACTGGTTCATTGGAATCTAATGAGAAATACAAACTAAATCTATGATCATGTGTGATTCACGGACGTCGCATGAAGAATGCTTGAAGAGATTGGTCTGGTTGCCAGCTTTGTCGCGCCTTGCGATGGCAATCGTAAAATGTTAATGGGAATTACCAAGAATTTGGGTTAGATTGCATAAGATGTATAGGAGGGAGTCGCCTGGATGATCAGCTTTTGTTGAATAGTGGCGATATGGACATAGCAAACATGTCAAAGAGCACATGTCAAGCAGATTTTGCACTAAAAGTAAAAGCTTTTTCTGCTCACATTTTGTTGAGATACTGAAGCGCATATGAGTTTGGAGCCTCAAATTCATCCTTTTTGAACGAGCACATATGTCCATATTATAGAATCATATGGCCTGCTTGCTCGAAGATAAAAGCCGCCGGTCAGCCCCTCGCCGATTAGCTCCTTGCCGATTGATCATCAGAGTACACCATGTTATAGAAGGAATCCACACCATCGACTTACAAACAAAATACAACGGGCAGTTTCCCGGCGGATGTTCTTGCGAGATTGCCTAAAATTGCAGCTTTTCCGTGATATGAGTACTTAAACACATTTTCCAGCTCTTGTTTTGGCATTTTACAGGCGCTTTCGGGGCTGCTTGATGTTATCAGGGCGGTTTTGTGCTTGATTTTTAATATGTTTGATCTGAAAGTGTGCGTAAAAGGACGCCGCCTCGGGATGCCATGCCAATCAATTCCCTGAGATGCTGGCGATCATCTTTGTTGCCGCATCGCCGGCCATATGTCGGAAATGACACATGAACCAGCGGCATCATGTATAAAGAAAGAACATTTAGCGATTTCACCGTTCACACATTCGCACATTTTCGTGGCGTCTTATTCACTCTTTCGTCCACAATCGAAGCTTCTTCGTCCTCCAGAGCATAGTACCGGCCTGTCCTTCGACTTCCGAATCAATGACTAATTCGCTCCACAGTACAGCCTCCAAATCTCCCATTCTCATTCTACAGGTGTCTTCACCCTTGGTTTACCAATGCAGGAATACTAATCTGAATATGGTGATGTACCGCTAAGAATCTCCACAAATAATCTAGTCAACAGCTAAGTATCATACGTGGAGTGAGGTAGCGTACGAGGCACAAAACGGATGAACATATCCCTTTACGAAAATGTAGTAGGTCTGTCGGTGTAGCTTCGCATCCTGCCGTTTCCGTGCCCAATGCGCACAGGACATCGGCTGGCCTCCAGAGCAGCAATTCTCAGTTGCCGCGTGGCTGGCAGGCGCATATTGTCAGGTCGTTGCTTAAATACGATCACAGCGCAACCTCCTCAGGACTCGCCATCAATAGTTAACTTGTTCTCAAGTCCGACGACACGCACCCGTGAGATGGCGCGGTCTCGAAGAGCGCTACCGCCTGGCAGTAAACCGGGCTACCTCGCCATACCGCCAATGTCACATCATCGATCGATGACGCGGCAAGGGTTGATGTGACACCTTCCCTGCCTCGCCTCGCCTCGCCAATGTGCGCGAAACCGCGCACTTTCTTGCTCCCCGTGCTGACCAATGGAACCGCCAAAAACTGAACTCCCATGAATTCGATTTCGATCCTAATTTTTTATTCGATCGACCCCGCCGCCGGCTTGATGAAAATAACAAAGCACGGCTGAAATGCGGGCGGACGTTCCCCTTCCCAGCCTTCCGAAGAGAATACACTAACCGCGCTGCACCCCAAGATGCAGCTAAAGTACCTACATTTTAGAACTAAACTATTAGCTTAGATCCTAAAAACTTAACCTTTCGAATAAACCGCGCACGCCGCGTTGCATCGCAAAAGCGCCTAAACTACTGGAGGCCGACTCAAGCGGGGCAGTTGCCGTCGATTGGATCCTTGCCGTTGGCGCAGACCACGCAGGCGGGATTCTCGTCAAGGACGCCGTCGGCGCAGACTTCGCAGCCGGAGATGGCCGCCGAGCACTGCACGCAGAGGTAGGGCCAGAAGGTGTCACGGCGGCTGCGGTAGTAGCCCGGCCTGCACTGGTTGCAGCCCATGCCGTCCACGCA